CCAGCCCTGCAGGAAAAATGCTGAGTAACCCATCCCCTGACCAAGTGTGTGGCTGAGCTGGTAGGCTGGTTGCCCTCTCATAAGATGGGGGAAGAAATGAGAGAAGGATACTCTGCAGTAAACCCTCACCCCAGGCACCTGTTCCTGCTTTAGGACCATGTAGTCTTGTGTGGGAAAAGGAAGGAAGTTATCTTGTAAACAGCCACCATCTTGTCTAGACATCAAGGAAGAGATCTCTCAGGGAAGCTGCAAGGGCTGCAGAAGGCTGTGCTTGATTTCCTGTCAGAGGTGGGGTCTTAGATTTGTATAAATAGAGGATCCTCCAATAGAACCCCCTTTAATATAGTTTGCTCCAGAGTAAAATTTGGTACTGAGTTTCATCCTTAACCCCTTCCCAGAGGATAGAGTTATTTAACAACAGGAAAATCCACATGGCTATTGTGGTACTGTGGTGTGTGAAGATAAAATCCTTTCGATCTCAAAGATCACTAGTGCTAGCTAATCCCCCTAACCCCCACATAAAAATGTCCTATGACTAACAGCTCATATTTGCAGGACATTGTCCAGAATCAGAGGAAAATTTGTGGCCTTATAATGGAGCTGTCAACTGAGTTACCTAGAGTGAAAAGCATGTCCTTGACCTGATTAGTCCAATATGATAAGCAGCTGACCCATGTGCCCATGGCAGTTAGAATAATGATAACAATTCAAACAGAATCCAGTACTTCTAAACATTGTTATGTCACCTAGAGGGTTCCATCCCAGTGGTGGATTTTTGTAGGAGAATTGGCTAGTAAGTCTTGTGCTTTTTGCAGTATGTTTTATTTATTTATTTTTTAAAACAGAGTCTCACTGTACGTTGCCCTTGGTAGAGTGCTGTGGTGTCACAGCTCACAGCAACCTCAAACTCTTGGGCTTAAGAGATTCTCCTGCCTCAGCCTCCCAAGTAGCTGGAACTATACGCACCCACCACAATGCCTGGCTATTTTAATTTTTTTGTTGTTATAGTTGTCATTATTGTTTGGCAGGCCTGGACCAGGTTTGAACCCACCAGCTCTGGTGTATGTGGCCGGCGCCCTAACCTCTGATCTATACCTAGAATATAACTTCTTGTTCTAGGCTTTCCATTTTATAGCACCTTGCAAAGTCTAAAGCAGAAAAAAATAGCATATTGTTGGTTCAGAATATATAAACCATGTGCTCTCTGTGCTTCAAATTGCTGACTGACTAGCAGGTGCCTGTAAGGTTAAACACTCCCTGAAAACATACACTGATCACTCTTCCCTTGAGTCTCTCCAACCAAGATTCATTTCCAAACCATTATCATGTAGACGTGGCTATCTTGTAAATGGCTTTGAAGTATTTCTACAATCCTTTATTAAATTTCTAGGACATAGACTGGATGTAGTGGCTCACACCAGTAATCCTAGCACTGTGGGAGGCTGAGGTATGTGGATTGCTTGAGCTCAGGAGTTCAAGACTAGCCTGAGCAAGAGTGAGACCCTGTCTCTAAAAATAGCCAGGTGCTGTGGAGCAGAACTGTAGTCCCAGCTACTTGGGAGACTGAGGCAAAAGGATTGCTTAAGCCAAAGAATTTGAGGTTGCTGTGAGTTATGATGCCATAGCACTCTATTGGGGCAACAAAGTGAGCTCTGTCTCAAAAAACAAAACAAATTTCAGGGCATAAAGGTAACAGCTGTATGGGGTAAAGTTGGTAGGCTTTGCTTTATGTAGTCATAAACCTATCCTCACAGCAAATCTTCCCAGTGTTTGTCCCATTGCTAGGACCAAAGTAACGTATGTCTGCCCGGTGGCAGGCAGAGAATATTTGCCCTCATGTCTCTTAGCTCTCCTCACTGGAGTTTCCTAGTCAAAAGGTATTGTACTTCCCATGTTCTTGCTCTCCAGATTTAAAACTTCTTTTCTTTTTCTGAGATAGAGTCTCACTCTGTCACCCTGAGTAGAGTACTGTGGTGTCATCATAGCTCACAGCAACCTCAAAGTCTTGGGCTAGAGCAATTCTCTTTGCCTCAGCCTCCTGAGTATCTGGGACTATAGGCACCCACCGTGACATCCAGCTAGTTTTTTGTTTTTTTCAATTTTTAGTAGGGATGTTTTTTTGTTTTTTTGTTCTTTTTTTTGAGACAGAGCCTCAAGCTATCCCCCTGCGTAGAGTGCCATGGCATCACAGCTCACAACCTCCAACTCCTGGGCTCAAGTGAGTCTCCTGCCTCAGCCTCCCAAGTAGCTGGGACTACAG